GATGAAATCGGATAGGGATGAACGGGTTTAAGAGTTTTAAGAGTTTAAGAGTTTTTAAGAGTTTTAGCCAAATGTTTTATAATATAGTATAGAGATATATATATATATATATATATATATATATATATATATATGAGCTGGTTCAAATACTAACCAAAATTATTGTGCAAACTATGTTAACCCGATCTTGATCGTTTATTTTCTCATCAAATGATCCTTATTAAATGAGACTATAAAAATAATCATTTAATTAATATATTAATTGAGATGCCTATAAACAACGGTTCAGATGGTGCTTTTGTAAAAACATCGCATGAACACGGTGAACATTTATATGAACACAGTGAATATTTATATGAACACGGTGAATGTTCATGGACATTACATGGATGTGAACACCGTGAACATCGGAATTACCTCATGATAAATTAGAAGGATCTTAAAAGATTTGTAACTCCCAAATAATTATTAGGGAGTTACATAAAGGTCAAATTACAAAATAGCCTTTGTATTCAATTTATAAGTTACATTTGAACATAAAGTAAAGAAAGAATGTGATTGGTTAATGTTGGTTAGTAGAGTTAACACAAAAAAATGAGTTAGTATTTGAACCATCCTCTATATAATATATATATATATATATATATATATATATATCACGGAACTCAACCTTACATAAGCCCAATTTATGAGATACATCAGATCAAATTCAATGAGAAGCGCAATTCGTGAATAAGGATGAGATTAAAACTTATAAATATAGTATTTATATATACATACATAAAAGTTTGGTTTATTTCACAAAAATACAACATATTTGTGTTTGGTAAAATTCTGAGTCTGGCCATCAATGCATTAGTAATTGGATTGGCCTTCCATAAATTAATTATAGCTTTCATATTATATCATAAAATATTTGACAAAAAATTTCAAAATCCATTTTTACGTATTAAGTATTGTTTATTGATATATATTACTTAAAATTTAATATTACAAGTAATTTTGCGTAAGTACAACTTATTAAATCTCAATTTTTAAATTCGTATGATTAACTGCTGATAAACATAATCAAATACATGATAAACATCAATTTTAGATATAAAAAATCTAAAATATAATTAAGATAATAATCATTGAGTTCTAACAGAATATTTAATTATCTCGCTACATTGCACGAGTATCCTTATAATTAAAAGATAAAACAAGTAGTGTTTTTATTTTTCAAATATAATTAAATCATACTCCTGGGAATTTTCATCACTTTTTGTAACTTTTAAAATCAAGACTTACACGTATTTATGTATATGTTTAAAATGAAAATGAAAGTGACATTAA